GAGGAGCGGCTCTTGAAATAATTCAAATCTCACATCTCATCTCATCCCGCTCTCTCTCTAGAAATAGATTCCGTCGCCGGTGACAAGAGAGAGAGACACACACACACAAAGAGAGAATTTCAAAATTCAAAAGCTTTAGATCTTACCGAGAAGTAGACGAAGAAGAAGATACTAGATTTATCAAAATTAGATTCTCTGGATTCGCCGTCCGTTCGCCGTTTCAAGATGTCAAGCCGCGACAAAGAGAAAGGCGTCAATGTTCAAGTCCTTCTTCGTTGCAGGTACCATTCAATTTAGGGTTCTGGGTTCGTAGTTGGGTTTAATCCCACTTTTGATTTGTTATTTTCGTTAAAAATGAATTTTAAGTTCTGGGTTCGCTACTGGGTCGAAATCGAATCACAAATTTTGTTTTTTTTTTCTTATTCGCAGGCCATTTAGCGATGATGAATTGAGGAACAATGCTCCTCAGGTTCTGACTTGTAATGATTTGCAAAGAGAAGTTGCTGTTTCCCAAAACATAGCTGGGAAGCACATTGATAGGGTTTTCACTTTCGATAAGGTAATAAAAGTTGCGCCTAGCTTGTTTCCTTCTGTTCTGGCATGGAAGTAGGCCATGGGAATTGCTGAAATTGACTGTTGGGCTTCGATTATGATACTTTTTTTTTAATGGAAAGAGACATGTTTGCTTTGCAGTGTAGAGAGAAAGGTGTAATGTTCACTTGTTCATCCCGTTTGCTTATGTAAAGTAGAGCTACATTAGTCATGTGATCTTTGGTGGATTTTATCATTTTAGTGAATAAACTACATGTTGAATCTGTGTGTTTATATGTTGAACACAGGTGTTTGGACCATCGGCTCAACAGAAAGATTTGTATGATCAGGCTGTTGTTCCAATTGTGAATGAAGTACTTGAAGGTTTTAATTGTACAATATTTGCGTATGGCCAGACTGGTACTGGGAAAACATATACAATGGAAGGAGAATGTAGAAGGTCAAAGGTCTGTGTTTTCTTTCAATGTGTTTCTTTTTTAAAGTTGCTAGTGATGTTTCCTAATCTAAGCTGTTTACCTTCTTTTTAATTGAGACAGAGCGGGCCAACTGGAGGTCTTCCGCCAGAAGCAGGTGTTATACCTAGAGCTGTAAAACAAATCTTTGATACTCTCGAGGGTCAGCAAGCTGAGTACAGTGTTAAAGTCACGTTTTTGGAACTCTACAATGAAGAGATTACCGATTTGCTAGCTCCTGAGGATATCACCAGAGGTTCTTCAGAAGATAAACAAAAGAAACCATTGCCTCTAATGGAGGATGGCAAAGGTGGTGTTCTTGTTAGAGGATTGGAAGAGGAAATTGTGACAAGTGCCAATGAAATCTTCACTTTGCTTGAGAGAGGTTCCTCTAAACGGCGAACTGCTGAAACATTCTTGAATAAACAATCCAGGTAATGCATTTGATGCTTGTGTTCTTTGCACATTAATGTCAAGGTCTCTCTTACTTAATGATATTCTTTACTTGCAGTCGGTCACATTCCCTCTTCTCAATAACAATACATATCAAAGAATCTACTCCAGAAGGTGAAGAACTAATTAAGTGTGGCAAGCTGAACTTAGTTGACTTGGCTGGATCAGAAAATATATCACGTTCTGGTGCTAGGGATGTAAGTAGTCTCTTACTGTTCAATCGAGTTTGGAGCGTCTTTCCTCCCAATTTCTAGATTTCATGTCTGGTGAGTGTCAGATTTACTCAATAGCCTTTCTCTATATAGGGCCGCGCTCGAGAAGCTGGTGAAATAAACAAAAGTCTTCTTACCTTAGGGCGAGTGATCAGTGCTTTGGTTGAACATCTTGGACACATTCCTTACAGGTTTAAGCTCTTTTATGGGTTTTTTTCTTTACATTAGTGATCATATAGCAGTGTTTCAACCTCTTCTGAATCCTATAATTATTTCTTGAACTGAATATAGGGATAGTAAGCTTACCCGCTTGCTACGTGATTCACTTGGTGGGAGAACGAAGACATGTATCATAGCAACAGTTTCACCTGCTGTTCATTGTCTCGAAGAAACCTTAAGTACTCTAGATTATGCACACAGGGCAAAGCATATTAGGAACAAACCAGAGGTATTGTCTTGTATTATAATATTTTCATTTATCCATCCAATCCCCTATTTCATTTTTCTTGTTTCCATTTAGGCCAACCATTGGAAAATCAGAATTCATTTTCGTACTCTTGTACATTTCCTTTTCGCAGGTTAACCAGAAAATGATGAAATCTACTTTGATAAAGGACCTTTACGGTGAAATAGAAAGACTTAAGGCGGGTAAGAAGCCATTCATAGATTAATTTGAGGGGTGACTGATGGAGTACTTTCACTCAGCTAAATGAATTTACTCCCTACAATATGCCCCAACTCCTCTGCCTGTCTATTACTCATATGTTTTCCTTGCTTGTCTTTTTAGAGGTCTATGCTTCCCGTGAGAAAAATGGTGTTTATATGCCAAAAGAGAGATACTATCAAGAAGAGAGTGAAAGAAAGGTATTGAGTTTCTGATAACAATTGTTCCTCAGATTTTTCATATGTTGAAGAAACACAATATTCCTTTGACCTCATCGCCTCCTTACTCATCTACTAATATAATCCGTTTTTGCTCTGTTTGTAGGCAATGGCTGAACAGATTGAGCAGATGGGTGGTCAGATTGAGAATTATCAAAAAGTTGGTTTATTCTTACTCAATAGATCAAAACACGGTTATTATTTACGTTAGTGTCAGAACTGACTTGTGAAATTGGTTATTTACATATTTTTCTGACCAGCAACTTGAGGAGTTGCAAGACAAGTGTATCGGTCAAGTACAGGAGTGCTCTGATCTGACTAGCAAGCTTGATACCACTGAGGTATTGGTTACGTCCTTTTGATGGGCTTTTGTGCTTTATAACTATATCGATATGCTCTGAGACTTCAAATGTACTATGTAGAAAATTTTGAGCCAAACAAGCAAAATGCTTGCTTCCACAAACGAGGAATTGAAGAAATCTCAATACGCCATGAAGGAGAAAGATTTCATCATTTCAGAGCAGAAGAAATCTGGTATTTTCTAAAACATTACTCTAATAAAATGCTTGAAAAGTTGTCTCTAACATGCTCCTGCATTTTGCCAGAAAATGTACTGGTTCAGCAAGCTTGCATTTTACAATCCAACTTAGAGAAAGTTACTAAAGACAATGCTTTGTTACACCAAAAACTTGGTATGTGTATTTACTATTTTGGGTGCCTTTTCATTAGCAATACCATAAGATTGTTAATATGTGAACTATTTGCTGCTATGCAGGAAGAGAGGACAAGCTCAGTGCGGATAACAGAAAAGTGGTCGACAATTATCAAGTAGAACTTTCTGAACAAATTTCCAATCTGTTCAATATGGTTGCTTCATGTCTGTCCCAGCAAAGTTCACACCTTCAGGATGTTAACAAACTGTCCCAATCTCGTTTAGAGGCACACAACAAGGTATCAAATTGTTTTGTTCTCTTAGTTTTCTAACAATCAATCAGTTGTTTCTTGTCTGAAATAAATTTTGCCGAAATTGGTTAATGTTCTAACTGTTGTCTAACTTTGTAATACTATTTGTAAAATTGTTGTCTAGGCCATTCTAGAAATGAAAAATAAGGTTCGAGCTTCAAGGGATTTGTATAGTTCTCACTTAGAGGCAGTGCAGAATGTAGTCCGCTTGCACAAGGCAAACTCAAATGCTTCTCTTGAGGAAGTTTCAGCATTGGCGACTTCAAGTGCATGTTCTATTGATGAGGTATGCCTTGTTAACTTTTTTTTTTCTTTTTAATTTTAGTGACTTCTGGTGTGTTCTAAAAGTGGTTGTCTCGTGGATTTCAGTTTCTTGCTTCAGGGGATGGGACAACAACATCGCTATTCGATGAACTTCAGAATGCTCTTTCGTCCCACCAGGGAGAAATGGCTCTCTTTGCGAGAGAACTGAGACAGGTTGGTGCACTGAGATATAACATATTGAAGCTAATACATATACTGGTCTTGGAGATTTACGATAGCTGTTGACTGATTGTTATCTTTTTTGTCCCTAATACGCAGAGGTTCCACACAACGATGGAGCAAACACAGAAGATGTCTGAATACACAAGTACATTCTTTCAGAAGCTTTTCGAAGAGTCAAAAAATGCTGAGAATCGTGTTGCAGAAGCAAATGATAGCCAAATAAATAGCATTATCGATTTTCAGAAGACTTACGAGGTCAAGATACTACATCTCCTCAGGTTTCTTGCTAACATCTTTGCTTGAGCCCATCTATAACTGGCATGTGTTGTGCAGGCTCAGTCAAAATCGGATACAGAGAAACTTATAGTGGATTTAACTGACTTAGTCTCAAGTCACGTTCGTCGTCAACACGAATTGG